CATACTTCAAAATATGATCATTCTTCATTCTTCTATTAATACATAATCTTGTTGCCTTCAATAGATAATGCTGCAATTTGTTGCCCATGACTAGCACCTTGCACTCTATTTTATAGTGCTTATCCAAACATAACTACCATACAAAATTTTCATCTTAATGTTCAGTCAAGTTTGTTACAATTCTTTATTGTCTGCAACTTGTTATACTAATAGAACAACTTATAAGTAAATTTTTATATATGACAAAACTAAATAGAAAGTCATTAATATAAAATATATATATATATATATAATCATGATATTAATAAAAATAAGCCTATAACTTAAACACCAATATAATTAGGTGTATAGTACAACCCGTAAAAATAATTGCATGTATTAAAAATTGGTGCACTAGATAAATTCAGCAATATTAGAAACACAAAAGATTCACTCAAGAGGTTTGCATGTCTTTGGCAAGGTATTAAATATTTTAATCTTCAAAGTTTTAATGCATAATTCCTTATATTTTTTTGATGGATAGTAAATCCATGCAATAGAAGTGTTATTAAAAATATTTAAGATGAAAAAAATACTTGTATTATTGATGTATAAAAAACTTCCAAAAACAAGCATATGCAAGCCATAATGTCTACTAAACTACTTCACATACTTCCAACTCAGCTTGCTCTAATTAATTAGTCACTTACAATTTAATGCTAGTTGTCACATAGATGAAATCATAATTGGATAACTTTTATATCATGATTCAAACGTATTCACAACAAAATATGCTTTTAAAAAAAAAAGATAAGAAGTAGCTCTACAAATCTTTGTTGATCTATATTGCAACTAACATAGCCTCACTTAATACTGCAAACTAAACCAAATAACCAAAAATCTTCATAAATGCATGAAACTTCTTCTTGTACAATAACATCCAGTTCCTTCTACCATGATATCTTCAAATAACTTCCTTAGAAATTTTGTAAAATTTCTAAAATATTCCAAATAAACATTCAACATTTAGATAAATAATCAATTAAAATAATCAATCCAATCACATGAAATCATGTAAAAATTGCAAGTCTAATGACAAACTAAAGCCTCAAAATGAACACATATCAAGTTTGCCTCTACTAGTAATATGAAGCTTATATTTTAATGCTAATTTTTATGATCAAGTAAAAAAAAATAACATACAATGTGAAGGCATGTTAATCAAATGATAATAGATTTATAAAAAATTTAGATTCACTTACATAAAAACAAACAAGTCCATCTTTTATGATCCTCCATTTTCAAGCAAAGACAATGTCCATTATCAATCTATTCTAATTTGGCTCTAAGCTCCATTTGCACTATGTGTGATGTTTGACATGCATTGAAATTAAAAACAACCACTTCAATTTCTACTTTAAAGTGAAATCTGAAACCTTCAATTTGACTTTCATATCCATTATTAATGTCATATATGCTATATAATCATGCCTTGCAACTACAAAGGCACAATGTTCTTCATTAATTTTGCCCTACATTCCAAACAAGTGGCATCTTAGAGTGTATATTGTTCAATGACCTCTTTATTAATGACAATACAAAACAATATAAAAATACATAGAATAGGAGCATGTTATTTATTTGAATAGGCATGGAACGTGCATCAAAAGTCAACCAACAAATCTTAAGATGTAAGCGTGTCCAAGTAAGTGAAGAAAGAAGAGAATAAGAGAGAGAAGGAGAGTGAAGGTAAGAAAAACAAGATACAATGTAGGCCAAGAACAAAGCACAATGCAACATAATACGAGAGGAAGATAAAAGGCATGACAAGACTATTGAATTGAGATCTATTTCTTGCTCCCTTTTAAACAAAAAAGTAGGATTTTTTTTTCTAAAAGTAAGAGATTGAGTAGCCGCAATTATTGCAATAATAATAAAGATTGGGATAATAATGAATTTGGTTGGTTTTTATTGATTGCACATCTAATAGTAGAAAAATGAATCCAAAGGTCATTTATTTTTTATGATGGTTAAATCAATTTAGTAAAATCCTATGTCATGTTTATCTATATATATATATATATATATATATATATATATCAATTCTAAAATACTTGGTACTTCTATGCTAAATTTCTTCATAGTTGTGCCCATATTAATTTCAAAAAGAAGTTCAAGTACATGGCATGGCATGTTGTGATTTAAGATTTCAAATCTAGTTGTTTGATATTTATCAAATCATCATATCCAAATGCAACTGTATCTCCAACTTCTCTCTAATTAAAATGAAAAACAATGGATCCATAAAATAAATATCTAATAATCAATCAAACAACTCTAACTTAAATTATAATATATCCTTATATCTCTTTTACTCACTAATAGGCCAAAATCAATTTCCAAATACTCTATACTACTACAAGTGTAATTAAGAAAGTATTGACATAATACAATGTCTAGATCATGCATATCATACAATTCTTTACAAGCACAATTTAATCATACATCTCAAAAACTATAAGCTATTGTTGTCACTTTAAAATTAAGAAATAAAGATCTAAAGACATATATTGTATCTATACTAGAAAAATTTGTAATATGCATTAGTAATTTATTTTTGTTAAGATTTAAGAAAGATAAATCATTTAATTACAATGTTCTAACATTACAAAAAGGTTACAAATCATTTTTCAACAACTACTATATGGGACTTTATAATTGAGGTTTCTATAATTGTCTCATTTATCTTTAGTAATTCCAATCCTCATATTCTTAGTTTGATGATTTTAACTCATTACCTTTAATTTTTAGATATGATTCAATTAAAAACATATTATTTGCTACTTTATTGGATCTATTGGATGAAATTCTTAAAATATTGTATATTTTTCTTTTATCTTTCAAGATCTAAGTAAATTTTTTATTAAAAAAATTAAAAATCAAAAAATTTATAAAACATATATCATCAAATTTATATAATTCTTATGAAAAATTAATCATTTTTTTTATTTTATCATTTGGTCTCTATGTATGTCTTGTCTCATTATATAATTATCATACTAAAAAATAATTAAAAAATATAAAAATTAATTATAAGATTAAAATGGTAAAAAATAAAGTATTATGTTTAAAATAAATAGAATTAAAAAAAAAAAAAAAAAAAAAAAAAAAAAAAAAATAGAATGAATCATTATTTTAGAGACATGTTTCTTTTAATTCAAAATCTAGAAGTTTTGATTTTTGATAAGTTTTTTTTATTATTATATATACAATGTCAACCAAGCAGTTCAAAATCAATATTATCATATGGATCAAGTAAGTTCTAATTTGGACTAGTATAGTGCAATCCACAATTTTTATTTAATAAGTGTAGATTTATTTTTAAAATTTTAAATATAAAATCTAAATTAATGTAATGATAACTTCATCTTTCAAAAAAATTAAATCTTGATGATTTAGAGCAAGAAAATATTTAAAATAATAAAATAATAAAAAATAAATTAATATATAAGTAGATAATATAATATAAAAAAATAATAAAAAATTGATGTAATTTAATCAAATTATGTGTTAAAATCTAATTGATTTGTTGGTTTGAGGTTGTCACTTCAAAACTAAAATATATTAAAATAAAGCATGAAGCTTTATAATATACTTTATAAAAGATATTAATATTTATATCAATTAATTCAAAAAATTTAAATCTAACTAACATTTTATAAATTATATTTATAGCAATGATAAAATCTTAACTTTTCATCAAAAGAAAGTTTTTTAAGATTCTAGAAATAAATTTTAAAAAATCTATATAACTTTTCTAATATTATTTTTTAATTTGGTAGCAAGTTTTTTGAGTTTTTAGTGCTATTTCTAGACTTAGTAGTAAAAATTTAGACTTTAAGAATGATATTTTTATGTATTGCAATAATTAAATTATATGGTATAGAATAATGTTGAAGTCCAACATTAGGTCAAAGTACCATCATAGTAGATTTAGATGCCTAACTAATAGTTATTTTTTGGTCAAAAATAAATAAATTTAAAAAATACAATGATAAAGAGATATTATTATATAATGGTTTTAGAAAAAAAGAAACATGATTAAGATCCATAATATTATGATAAAAGTTTAATTATTATGTATGTTTAAAAGTATTAAAAGTTACAAATTTTGGATATGAAAATTAAATCTTGATAGTGTTTATGATTTTATTTTTATTTTATTTATGACTAAATCATTTTGATTATTATTAAACCGAACTAACTAAAGTAAATAATCACAATATAATATAGTGACATAATTATTTCTTTGCTAAATGTGAGCAATCTAAAAATCTTGCTGAGTTGCTGCATTACGATTGTTGCTACATTAAGATCCTAGATTCAAAATATATCTTAATTATTTGAAATTATATTATTTGCCCATCTTAACTTTTTTTTATGTAAATAGTTGCACAATCATCTTTTCATTCCATTATCATTAAGCTTTCATGAGCATTAATCTCTAGTTGGGTACAAATTAAGTCTTGTAAGAGTGCTAATTTTGACACTGATTTCCACAACTGTTTCACTGACATTCCAATGTATATCATGTCAGGGTAAGGTTTGTTTTTCCTCTGATCCATGTGTTTGACATACATGAAGAGACAAGTGGGAAACATGGTGCAAGCATTACATTGATATTCTAAGACAATGCATTGTATAAATACGTTCTGTGCGGGAACATGTAATGTGATACTCGTGAACTTGTAATGAAATGTGATACATGTAATGTAATGTGAACATGTAATGTAATGTGATGCTCGTGCTCTCGGGGAGTCTCAACTCTGGGGTTGAAATGTAGTGTTGAAAATGAGTCTGGTGTGGAAGTGGGTTTAATTTTCTTTCAGTGCCAGGATATGCAATTCAGAGTAGCTGAGTCGTGGGTTCACATCTCATCCAAGACGTAAGAGGCATTGCAGGTCGAATCATGCAAAATCAGTCTAAAGAATTGTCAACCAAGCCACATATGTCACCAGTGATGGGATTGAATCGAGCTCATCCTAATAAAAAAGATCATGAAGATGAAAATTGAACATCAAACAGATAAACCGTGTTCTGTCAAAAAGGATTAAAAGTTCTCTGTTGATACTAGTACAGTTGACTCGATGGTGTACCCTACTAGTGTACATGTCAAATACCATTTTGGTAAAATAATAAATGATGCGTCCTACCGATATTGTCCTGTACAAAAGACTACAAAATTATCGGGGTGTGAGGCACTCCACACCGAAAACGCCCTTCATAGGTGAGTGTACAAGTCGCAACTCGTTTAACCTCTGCTTCTCTTCCAGGATTTTGACCTGCAATCACCGGATCGTAATTAGTTTGGAATGCCCCACTGTCTTTCTACTCTTTTCTTGTTTCTTTCTGTCCCTGGCTCTGTCACCGTCTCACTCTCTCTCTCTCCCTCTCTATATGACAATTTTGCTACAACACTAGTCATAAAGTATAATATCACTGGTAACATATCGGGAAAGAATGCAAAAGTACAAGACAGCTTGCGAGTCAAATCGACATTTCTGCTGCAGCTGACATCGTCCACAATATAATGGTTATAGTAACTTCGATAACCACGTCGCACAAAGCAGTACCTTAAGTTTACTATCCTCAAGATCTTTTACGGTGGAAGCAAGACGGATTTTAAGTTGCAGGAGAGCTTCCAAGGCCATTGGTAGTTCAGCATCTCTGTTGGATTTTGAAATGCCTGCAGCCTGTCCATCAGACTCACAAGGTCAGTGGAAACTATAACACTTAAGAGCCTACATAAGTCGAGCACAAGAACAGGTGCCATAACTGGAGAATACACAAGATACTCCAAAAACAACGCAAGGTCAAAAGTGCCATAGGTAAAGAAAGTGAGACCAGGTAGCTGAATCATTAGCTTCTGACAATATACACACAACAACTTTAATAAAATCCATAAACGTTATGAGAAAAACCCACAGTGGTATGGGAGATCTTACCTCCATAATACGCTCACATATGTCCACTAACTTTTGAGACAAGTCAGCCTTCCCCTCCTCAAGTTCCTGAAAATGCGCACAAAGGATTGTTAAGAGGAGCAGAAATAGAATGTGCTCCAAGTCTAAGTCTTGTTAAAACAAGAAAGGCCCCTCCTAACATAAAAACTATCACAAGGGATGCGTTGTTGTTGGATAACTTGAGATAATTTTACTTCACAGTAGTTGTCATTTGGAAGTGTGAAAACACCTGGACTTGAGAACGGAGGCGCTGCTCTTCATCGAAGTGAAGCAGAGGAGTTTTGCCTTCCGCAGTGCGATACTTCGCCAGCTCATCAGCATTACGGGTATGAAGAAGTTCGGCTCGTCTCAGCTTCCCAGTCAATTCATCGTTTTGAATTCGTAGCAAGTTGTTCTCTTCCTGTAAAAACCAAGGACAATGCTTGACATGGTTAATTAAGTTGCATCCTGAAATAATTTAAAAGAGAGGACTGGAAAGAGGTTACATTCCTTTCTGTAGCAGTTTTTAAGTGATTGGATACCTTAATCTTGGCGTGATGCTTAATACGTTGTTGAAGATTCTGTTGTCCAGAGAGTTTCTTGACTTCTTCTTCCAAGTTTCCTGCTTTTTTCTGTTGTACTCTCAGCTCATCCTGCGAACAATGCTAGGACGTTGATGAAACTACCACAATTTTAAAAGCGGTAAACTTTAGGACATGAGGTCAATGTCACCTACCCATAGTTTGACGCAATCAGCCTAGAAAAGAGGTTGATAGATGCGCGTGATATACCTTAATATTCTCGTTCTCTGTACGAAGTGCTCGTTCACGTTCTTGTAGTTTTTCTATGGTAGCTTGAGCTGCAAGTAGATCGGACTGCCTCCTACTGATTTCCTCTAACCAACTGCAATATGTGCATAGTCCGTTGGTCCAAATTAGAATCTAGGTGCATGCATCTCACTCATAAAGTAGCATTTGCACTTAGTCTAATGAGACTCCAGACAACGAGGGAATAGGAGGGCAAGGAAATGGGGCAGACCTTTCTCGCTCTTCGATTACGTCGTTGAGTTGCTGCAGAAGGCGCTCTACTCCTTCATCCTGGATAAAGACAGACATAAAAACTTATCAGAATTATTCGGTCTGGAAAGGACGAATCCGCCACTCTTGCGTGCAGTAAAGTAAATGCAAATCATACAGTTTATGAAGTAGCGAGAGTAGCGAGGAGCAGAGCAATCTCCACCCTTGCACGTGTCACTCTCAACGGCCTCCACTACGCACATGTCGGCAGATCTCTACATATGACCCATGTGTTGATATGGAACAAAAGGCTGTACCTTTTCCAAAGAATCTTTCTGAGCTTGCATAGAGTATTGCTCCTCCTGCTGATGACCAAGAAGATTCTGCAAAAATATTCAAAACAGAGTTATTGGACAAATGTACTTCACCACTGTTTGGATTTTTAAGGATGATTAAGAATGAAATATTATGATAGACTTCGAAACATACCGCCACATTAGTCATGTCTGATTTTACTCCAAGCAAATCTTGAAGGACTTCACGGGTCATCCTCTCAGCAGCTCCGAGTTTTCCATTCAAAATAGAGGCCTTCACGCACAGAGAAAACGAAGTTCAAGATGTAGATTCCCATACATGTTAATTTGAATGTTTGCTTCTTGAGCATGGATTCAAGGCTTCCAACATACATGTTTACCTCTCTTTGCTGGTCGCTGAGCTCGATCTCTAACTCCTCAATGCGACGCTCATACATTTGCCGCTCAGCATTCAACTCGGAATTTACCTGGTGACCCATTCCAATGCAAGCGAATGTTGACCCTGTCCCTTTCAGTTTGGGTCCCTTTGACAATGTAGGTTGAGAATTAACCCGTTCTTCCAATTTAGTTTCGACTGCTTTAAGCTGCTTAACAGAAACCAATAACAAAAACGATTAGATGACTTGACGACATGGTTCTCGACACTGAATCCTAAGCGACAGAAAGGCGATTGTAAAACCAGTATTAGAACTAATAACAGAAATAAATGATAAAACCTCAGGTGAGATATCACAGTACAGGGAGACTCACCTTATCCTCATATTCAGCTGCTTTCCTCTCAGCCTCGGATAGAAGCTCTGCGATTTGAGCCTTAGAATTCCGAATCTATGGTCAAAACAGGAGTTACCAAGATCACAAAGTTTGAGTCTACAATATAAAGATGCTTGGAAATCCATGAACCTACAAGACATAGATGGCGGAAGAAAAAATTGGATACATCATTACCTTCAAAACTCAAGAATAAACATACCTTCTCAGCCTTGGCCTCTGAATCTTTCTGAAGAATTTCGAACTTCTTCTGTACAAGTTGCATCTCAGCGTCCTTCTCTTGCAGTTTCCTGCTCTTACAAAAAAACAAACGGCAGTTAGATAGAAGATTCAAGCAAAAGGCAGCCGATGCAAAATATGTAGGAACTTTGTTTACCTCTAACATGGTAGTTGCGTAGGGGCTCGCTCGTCAAGACTAACCTTTCAGCTTCTTCCCGTGCAAGTTGAGCTACGATAATGTCATCGTCACTTCTCGTACCGGCCTCTTCAAGAGCGGCTTGCATAATTGACAAATGATTTTGTAGCCGCTGTAGCTCCATTTCCATGTCTTCCCTCATCAGTCGTTGTCGCTCACACTCCCTTTTCACAAGCCCGAGCTGCGACATGATCCCATGATCAGACAAATCGACACCTCTGAAACCCAATTACTATCGAGGCGCATTTTCTAGCATAATGCGGGAAATCCTAATTACAGATTACTTGAGATATGGTACATACCTGGGATTCAAGAGCGTATACTGTACTTTCAAGCTCCACTATAGATCTGCCCAGAATTTCAGCTTCAGCTTGCTTCTCTTCAGCACGAGCTCGAGTCAACTCAGCATTCTGGGCCACACGAAGCACTGGTGAATACTTGATAAAGATGAGGATACGCCTACGTTTTATGAGCATGGTGAGCAACATAACACAAAGGCAAATGCAGGTCAGTGTTAAAGCACCTGACTAGCTTCAACAGCTAAAGCTGCTTGTTCATCAGAAAGAGCTTGAGTTGCTTGAAGCTGCTCAGTAAGAGCACTAAGCTCCATTTGAAGGTTGTCTCGTTCAATCTCCAGCTCCCTCATATCCACCGAGGCATCTTCGAGGCATCGAGCCATCGTCTCCTGGACCGTCGAAAGCTCCGCTTCTAAGTTCTTGATGGCAATCCGCTTTCTTGTGATCTCCTCTTCCAAAGCTGAAACTTTTTCCAGCAACTCCTGAACTTGACATTTCAATTCAAGGCTCTCATGGGCAACCATATCTGCTGAGGCACGCGTGGTCTTTAATTCCTCACTTATTCTGCTAAGTTCCTCGTTCTTTGAAGCTAGATCTGCCTCAAGCTTAGAGCGCTGAAATGAAATTGTATCCAGCTTTCCATTCTGCACCTCTATTTCATTCTGAAGTGACTCTATCCGTAAGAGCTCCTTCTGAAGGCCCTCCATTTCACGCTGCAGACGCTCTATTTCAGCCTGCGAACGTTCCGCGCGAGACGCCTTCTCCTCATATACGGTGAGCTCTGCATCCAATCGCTCCACCATAGACTTGAGCTCGGCTTTTTCCTCCTGAAGGGTGTGGAGAACTTCCCACTCTGCAGCAGCCTTATTGGAGAGAGCACGAGCTTCACCTTCCAATGCACATTCCTGCTTTTGTAGCTGCTCGTGGAGTTCAGCAAACGCTACTGCCTGACGCTGCATCTCCTCTCTTAACTCCATTCTATGGTTTTCTAATTCGCTGACATGTCGTGCGCTCTCTTCGAGCTGCTCTTCGAGTGATTGCACTTCCGCTATCCAGTGATCATCGCTTTTCTGCAAGTGTTCAATAGTGGACTCCAAAGCTTTAGTTTTTATCTGTGCTTCCTGTAGTTGCTCTTGTAGCTCAGATTTCTCAACCTCAAGATTGAAAACCATTGTCTTCAGCTGCTCTTGCTCCTCCTTGAGCACACTCAACGTGTTATCTTTCTCCTCAGTTGCCTTGTAGGAGAATGAACGTCTCAAGCTAGAGATATTATCCACATCTCTTGTTAAGCTCTGCCGCAGCATATGATCTCGGTTCATGCTTTTATTGAGATGGTTCACCTCATTGATAAGCTTCAAGATCATGTTCTCTTTTTCCTGTAGTAGTGCTTGCGTTACCGCATGTTGGGTTTGAACTCTGGCGACCTGCTGCCGGGCCTTTTCAACCTCACCTTGAAGAGTACGTATTGTTAATTCCTTCTGATTCAGAACTACACTGGCAGCTTTAATTTGCTGTTCCCAAGACCGGCGCTCGCTATCCAAGCACTTCACCGATGGCAACAACCCAACTGACTCTGCGTTGTCGTAGTCATTTCCTGGGATTTCTCGCTTGAGTTTCAAGATTTCATGTGCTATATCCAGCCTAAAAACTTGGATCTCAGAGACAAGTGAACTCAGTTCATTTTCTGCATGGCCCTTGGTCAGGTCAACTTGTTCCTTCGTACAAGCTACTGCTTCTAGCATCTCCTGCACTATTTTGTTAGTCTCCTCAAGTTGTGCTGATGCAAGCCGCTCTTTTTCTCTCTTCCATCGCTCTTTCGCTTTCTCGTTCACTCTTACAAGCGCGTTGACCATGGCATCAGCTTCTCTCAATGTAGTTTTCCATTCCTCAAATTTCACCAACATAGCTGCAGTTTCGTTTCTTTTTTCATTCGCTTCAATCCGTGCACCCTCTCTCTCGGATTCAAGTTGAGTCTTTTCATCCCTCCATGCTTGCTCGGCAGCATTCATCTTCTCTTCAGACTCGAGTAGCAGCATGGTTAGTCTCTGCAGTTCTAATTCACAGTTTTGAAGTTGAGCATGCTTCCTGCTGGCCTCTAATGCGGTAGCCTCCAGCTGCGCCAGGTAATCTTTCTCCTTCTGGATAAAATACTGGTTCTCTGTGACTAACTTGTCAATCTCAGTTTCCAAATCCTTGCGTTTTGCGTGCATAGCTGATAACTCCATTCGCACACACAAGTAGGCTTGATCCTGCTCTCGTGCTCTGCTGCGTAATTTTAAATTTTCAGTTCTCATCTTGTCCAGATCTTGCCGCAATTTGTCTGCATTTATGTTGAAGGAACTAGCCTCAGGTGCTGGAACTGATCTATTCTCACTCAGACGTCGAAAAGGCTGATCCGAACTCCTGCGAACATCTGACTGCTGCTCCAATCTATCAATCTCCATTCTTAAGTCTTCCTTTTCAGCAATCAGGTGTTGTCTTTCTGCACTCCAATCTTCGCCCATGGTAGATACCATGTCTGTTAGCAATTTCACTTTTTCCTCTGAACTATCCAGAGCCGCGAGTGCTCTCTTGAGTTCCGCCTGAGTGTTCTTTCCTTCTTTCGATGTTCTGTTGGCATGAATCCCCTTATTCTCATCCATCTCAGAAAGCTCCTTCAGATAATTGTCCCTTTCCTTCTGGCAGGACTGATATTCCAGTTTCAAGTCTACTAAGCAAGACTCGAGTCTCGCAACTTCTGATTTAAGAGACGCCTTCTCGGAAAGCCAACTCTCTTCTGAACAATTGAATTCTTCAATCAACAGTGTGAGTGCTGCTACTTTTGATTCAGCCTGTTTCTGCTGCTCTTCTGCATCCAGGAGTCTTTTATGCACAGAAGAATAATCTTCCTCCTTTTGTGCAACCAAATGGATCTTCTTGTGAGTGTTACTGGATAACAAGAGCTTCTCGTTTCGAAGTTCCAAATTTTCAGCAGTCAACTGGTTAACTGCATTACACAGTTCTTCCATCCTATCTTCCAATGGAGAGGCCACATCGTCTTCAGGACGTTTGTGCAACTTGCTTTCCCGTAACCGAGGTTTGTAGCCAGCTCCTGAAACCTGGCCTTGAAGCTTAGCCATGGTTCTTTGCAGATTCGAAATTGTCTGATTATTCTCGGTACAGCGAGACTCTGCGTCTCGGGAGGCTGCGAGGAGATCTGATCTCTCAAGAACCCAGTCTTCATATTGGTCTACCATCTGCTCCTTCAGCCTAATATTCTCCTGATCTTTCGATTCAACCTATAACAGAGAAATATTCAGCTGTTTAGTGATACTTGGCACATGGAAAGTAGTTCATATTACAGAGCGATTCCAGATGTATGGATCCGAGTCGTGACCAACTTCATTCTCACATGAAAAGTTGGAAGAGAAGATATTCCAGGTATATCTGTTTATGAACTGTCGCTTGTTTACGTCAGTGATAATTTTATAACAATTATTAGACGTTAGTTGAAGATGAGGCATTGAGTGAAGTACCTGATATCGGAAGTCGTCCGCAATACGCTTCAATTCCTCCCCAAGTTTGACCTTTTCCTTTTGCAACTCGTCCTCCCGGGCCTCTGCCGCGAGAGTACGGGCTTCAAGCCTTTGAAGCTCATTTTTCATGGTACTAAGCTCCTCCTTAAGCTGCGAACACCGCTGCTCAGCTACAGATATATTTACCTTCGATGCAGATATCTTGAAGTTCCAGTTCTCTTTGACAATGGCCAAACCGTCTTGCGCTTTGACAACCTCTGATAACTTCTCAGTAACACGTTGTAAACGTTGCTCGGCGGTCCGCAGTTGCAGATGGAGGTGTTCTGATATCCTTGCAATCAAATCCTGCGTTGGTTTTAAACGAGCAGCATCAAATGAAGGCAAGTCAGGAACAAATTGATCAATCAACTTTGCCGCCACGTCCTCCCAATCCTGCTGAAGTGTGCAAATCTCAGCCTCTTTCTTCTTCAGCAAGCGCGATAATATTGCAATACTATCTCCGGCTGATGATTCACTCTTCATAGAAACGATTCTCTCGACTTCCACCGTTGTTCCTTGAACTTTAGTATCCAAAGTGAATTTCCTTGCATCGTTGCTTGAATCATGGATGCTCATTTCCGTTGCCTCTGTTTGGATGCTGAGAAGCTCTCGTTCCTTGCTGAGTTTCCACTCCAGTTGAGATATCTTCTGATTCAATTTGGTCTCATTCTCACCCGCTTTTCCCATCTTCTCCAGAACGAGTTTATGGTCCAGGCGAAGAGCGTCAAGTTCCAACTCTACCTGAGTTTGACGATTCCTAAGAGATTCTGAGACTTCCTTTTCGGAGTGAAGCTGAGAGACGGTTTCTTCCACCTGTTTCTGAAGACGTACGCTAGAAGTTTCAGCCTCCTCAAGACATCTTCGCTTCTCTTCTAATTTGTTCTCTAGTGATTCCAAGTCCAACAGAAGCTGCATAATTGTCACCGAGTTCTTAACCTCTGAATCGTCCATTTCATCGGTGTTTCTAGTTTCTTCTTCCCATCTGTGACTCTTAAGATCACCGTCACTTCTGTCTAGTTCCATCTGTAGTTGCAAGATAGCATCACGATGCTGTATACTTCTCCTTCGTCCTCCTGGATCCTGGAATTCAGAACTCTGAAGATACTTATGATTCGTTTGTCTTCTGTGTTCTCGTCGTTCTTCATCAGGGAAATGTTCCTTAAATCTACTTCCAAGTGAGCGCTGATCTTCTGATGTAGCATTTACTTCACCAAGTTCAGACTCAACTTGACTTCGGATGACTCTTACCTGGGGTGACTTTTGACTTTGTTGCATAATGACCTCGTGCCCTTCAGATTTTTCCAATGAGTCTTTGGTCCACTGCACAATGAAGATCAAAAGTGAGAACATCAGTTAAACAGGAATCTAATTTCTAATAAAGAATCCACTCATTCAATTATCTACTTTCGGAAGGCGCAGAATTTTCACAAATTGAGTACAAACGACCTATCGAAAGATTGAAGCAGACAAGACATGATATGCACCTGAAGTTCTGTCTGAAGGTTGGTGGACTCTAGCAGGGCCTCTTTCAGTTGATTATCAAGCTGGCTTCTCTTCCTGGCTTCTTCGGCAGCTTTCTCCTCACTCTGATTTTCAGACTTGAGAACATCAGTATTGATTATTCACCAAGAACATATTTACATAACTCCAGTAGGATGAGCATAAATAACGACTACAACCCAAGACATTTACCTTCTTGAGCTGACTCTTAAGCTCAATAACGTACTGCTCATGCTGAGCTTGTTTCAACTCGAAGCAATCCACTTCCAAGGCGTTCTCCTGCAATGAAATCGAAGCTTTGGCGTTCATATCTAGGCCCTCGACTTCTTGACACTTACTACACAGTAACACAAGCATCGGAACTATGAAGCCAAGGAAAAACAAACTGGCAAAAAGTATAATACCTGAACATCTTGAAGTTCCTTTTTGTACTTGCCGCAAGCTACATTCGCCCTTTCCAATTCTTCACGTAACTCACCCAGCTGTCTGCGAGTACAGAAAATGCTCGTGATCTGCATGAACTACTGCCGCATTTTTTTTTGATGACGACATGACCAAACAAAGGGAAAAGCAGTTGAAAACCGTAATCGTAAAAGATTATGTCAAAAATGAGGATAAAGTTAGTACAGAGATCTAGTTCCTGTAAGAGGTATATGACATCCTGCAGTTGATACAAAGTAAGGAGAATACTTCAAATTCCATACGCCTCAGAGAACCACCGTCAGCAGGTGGAGAAAAAAGGTTTGTACCTTTCCATGTTGTCGTTGGAAGTCAAGCAGGCACTGAGTTGAGTCCGACATTCTTCAAGCTCTCTTCGGTAGGAGTCAACCTAAACACCCGACCGAGCTTATCAAAAAAACTAAACCTAGAGTTTGCAATCACTTCCAGGTGCCACTACAAACCAACATCAAATTACTGCACACTTAATCAAGTACATCCAAATTATCACCTCTGTAAGAAGAAGCTCCAGTTGGCGGCGCTCTGCAGATGCAAGGGCATCTTTCTGAGGACAAGAAATGCTCAGCAAGTCAAATCCATTGGCAAATCAGGAGCAGAATGGATTCAAGAGTACAGCAAGATATAAAGGACATGCCATCATCGTAAATCATTGAAAAACAAACAAACCTGGGAATCAACAAGAGGATCGAGAGAAAGCTTGCAGTCTAGAAAGCCCACCAACTGCAAGAATTGTGGGCACGTCAAAGTAAGCAGGGTTTGGGGGAATGCACACCTTGAGACAACGAGTCAAAACCTAAGATCAGTAGACATTAAGATCAAAGTTGGAACATTGTAGACAATCACTTACTTGATCACGAAGATCCGCGATCTCTTGAGCCATAACTTCTCGTTCTCCATTGTTATGGAAATCTTCAAACCTACACATGAGTGCGGTATCAGAGGAGAGACGCAGAATGAAGAGAATGAGCAACCCGAAGCATGATATACCAGGCAACAGCTGAGCAAGCTCAAATTCTGAACAGGTAGGAGAAATGCAACTTCACTCTAGGACGTACTTGCGAAGCAGCTCTTGGAGGCGCATATTCTCTATAGAAATCCTTATGACTTCGGAATTAGAAACTTTTTCGTCACGCATTAGCTGCAACTCTTTATGATCAGCAATTTGTTCTTCTGCGAGTTTAGCGTCTGTAGACAAAGAACTGTCATTAAATACCTCAAGCCTTTGTATTTTGACTTCTCGGAACCGCAAAACCATCTTGCAACATTTTGTTTCTTCTTCACGCTGTTTGACCTGAAAGACTCAAATAAAAGCCGGTGCTCAGACATTAGCATTACTGAAGTGGTGAACGGGTTGCTTATGAACAGAACCTCTTCCGCAACCGGCATAACTCCAGTAACAATCAATATACCCGCCAAGCAGCAGGCAGAGGAGGAATATTGATTAACCTACCAAGCGAGTCAAGTGTTCAATCTCAGTGGCTGATCTCTTCAATGAATACTCCGCCGCCCGCTCGCGCCGAAGGGCACCCGCCAACACAGCTTCCAAGGACTTAATCTGAGCTCTCAAAAGCAGCAGCACAGGAATGTCAGCAATTCGTCAGATAATCAGAAAAAGCACCACTATGGAGACCAGCAGTCAGCAACAGTGGAGCCCAACGAGAAACAGGCTTTTTAGGTACCCAAATCATTCAAATTATGCACTTATGATTGACAACCTTTTTATTAAGAACAGTGGGACTTTGAAGGGTATTTCCAAAATTTAAGAAAGAGCCTTCAATGGAACTATTGAGCTTCTCCTTCGAATTGAGTGGGGTGCATTCATTTATGACTTCTTCCCGCAAAACTCCAGATGCTCGTGCAGTTGGTATTCGTGATATGCTCTGTCTTCGCAGACGTGCTAACTCATCCTGCAAAACAACGTCGTTTTCGTCAGGAGTTTCCTCAGAAAAAAAATCACAAAGAACATTACATTAAAGGAATTGAAAGTTGAAAGTAAAACCAATTGAAACAGTATAAATTTTGAGTGACCGAAAATGAAAAGGACACATCTCCCACCTTCAACTGTTGTATATGCTGACGCAAGACTTTCACATCTCCAGCCGCATCTTCGTTAACTACAGCCTAAGCATCCAAAGTTTGGATTAGTCTATTTGACTTGAGCTCATCTCAAGGAAAGCGTAAAAACAGGAAAACACATCAAGGAATAAAAGGATTTCGTACATTGTTCCGGATAAATTTTGCCCGCTGTGCAAACTTGAGAGTGCTCAAAGTCTCCAACGATGCACTGCAGTACGACAAATATTTGAGCTCGCAGTGTACTTCGACGTGGTTGCTGCAAAGAATAAATCGAAGGAGGCAACTAAGAAGGGCTACTCGACAAGTAAACAAAATCAGTACCAGATAGATGGACTGATGTTGGCTATGATCGTTGTCTTCGAATTGCCACCAAGTGAATCCTGCATTTTAAAAGAACGATGATTACACCACTCCTTACATCCCTCAAACCCATCGATGAGTGAACTATCCCTAATTGCAAGTTTCGTTATAACTGCATTCACCACTGTAGAGTGACATAACGAATTTCCACGTTAAGTCCAAAAAGAACCACAAGTGACGGAAACTGCTAGAACCAGCCGGAAGAATCAGCCCCCAAGACAGACATGATGAGGGCATTCTCTTCGGAGTTATCTTATTACCACGACACAAAAAAAATACAACCACATGGGAATAACAAGAATTTAAAGAGAGATTTGCGTTGCGACTCCAGTTGTATTCAGATAGAGAAACCTAATATGGCATTTTGAACTACGAGGATGAGCCTAAACATCAAAAAGATAACATACCTGTAGAAGGAAAGTAAGTTTTGAATCACGATATGGGACATGCCTCTGTTTCCCGTTGGCCGTGTCTACCAGCACCATAATGACAAGCCTACAGATCAATGAAAATCTCAGTAATTGTAGTACCTCACAATCTCTTTCATCGACAATATCAAGACACTTTGATGTTAGAAACTTCGGTAGGAAAGTGAATTTGGACATACCCAAGAGTTGAAAGTGACTTGTTGATACTGGCTGCTTCCTTCAATCGTTCACCTTCAGCACCAGAAGCCCTTTGCCTGATAGCTTTAAAGACATCTTGTCAGGAGCTGATAAAACATCATCACGGATCTCACCAACATTGCATCTACTGCGAAGTACCAAATACTACATTATGAGCCAACATTACCTTTCAGAACCTGCAAGGTCAACAAGATTTAAACGCCCGAATCGGTAATTGATCATCTGATCGCACTCCCACTGCAAAAGAAAGATGCATTTGAGTTAAGATTACGTTGAAGATTTGGGTCACAGGTACCCAGTATGAAGCGATGATCAAAGCAAACTCAGATTGGTGAGAATACACGAACCTGACTTTCAATTATGCACGTGAACACACTATGGGAGCGACTGCTCTCATTATTCATGTTTGTAGCAGCCACTCTTCTATTGGCAGCACCCTTGGGAACAAAAGACCAGGATAGACATGTACATTAGTAAAACTGTTTTTCAGCTTGGTGACCATCTCCATGTTCAGAAACCTTAAGGCTTTAGTAGGCACAAAAAGTGCTTTTGAGGTCAAGTTGCACAGATAGGATCTAATAACCAACTTCGAACGCACGCAGCTTTCTTCTTAACACTCAAGAGCATGTATATGCAAAGTTTGCGGACTTACCAACAGGAGAAGGTGAAGTACATCTTGCTCATTTTGCACCTCCACTTCCGTCAAGCCCTCAACATAAACACCCTTGGTGGCATCCTCTCGCACCTGGTTGAAGACAAACATTTGAACTCAGGATGTCTACAAACAAATGGTAATACTAGTCACAGATACTTCAGTGTATGATACGACAGAGAGAGAGAGAGAGAGAGAGAGAGAGAGAGGAACTCGTCTAAGTCAAAGTATCATGCATGCATCCCAACATGGCGGGGCTATGACCTGTAAGTTGGAAGAGGATGGCTCGAGAAGGTCTGTAATCTGCTCATTGTAAATTTCCAGAAAAGAGCACCTGCACTTGAATTTCAGATTCTCGTGCTTCTGTGCTTCTTCAGCCTGCACGATTACACAATCTTTCTGCCCTTAGTGAAAGTCATGAATTAAATTAAAACTTACTAAATACTCCCAACGAATCACTTCGAAAGAAGTAGCTATCGAACAAAGCACCCGATCATTTTAATGAGAATAGAGTACATATTTCTCAGGCTGAATAAATGTGTTGGATGGAAACGCATTGGACAAAGAATGTAGATGGTATACCAATTTCATCTTAGTGAATAGGGACTCAAACACTCGCGGAGTCATGCCTCGGTTGTCACTAGGTTGGTGACCAAAATCCGAGATATCCCCGAGCATTGTGTGGGTTTTACCGCTGCCTGTCTGCGAAGGATTTCCCATTACGCTTGCACCAGTTAGTTTCCATCGAAACGATGTAGACATGGATATACTAAACTGATGTAACAAAGTTACAGATGTATCGCTAGAGTCGAATTCCAGCATGTACTTCAGTAATGCTCATTGAAAGTAAATGTCGATTTGGTTGTCAGAGGTTCTACTCACCTGGCCATATGCAAACATGCAACTGTTGTATCCAGCTAAACAATTCTCAACCATAGGCACTCCCGCCACTCTGAATAATTCGGCCTGTATCATTTATCACAACGAGCTAATCGTAAATTTCACAGGATCAGTGGGGTCTACTCGTTAATAAGAGCACTGACAATATAACTAAAGTAGCAGCCACATGTTGAAAGGATGGATAGACAAGTACCTCCGAGGAAACATGACCCACTTAAGGAGGGAAATAAAATAATGTGTGAACTGAAAAGCTGAAGAATGACACTCATATCCAAGCTCGTCTACACCTACAAATTCCCCATGTAGTACTGTAACCTACAGATGCAATAGTGGACTCGGTAAAGGACAGTATTGCACGATGAAATCATCGACCCACATTCCAAGAACTTATGCAATGTCGCCATTACTAAGCCATCGTGTCGTCGAAGACGCGAAACGTACTTGCGTTATGGATTCACCAGCGACATGATCGAAAGTGAATCTCGTCTCCGGTTGTCCAACCCAGGTGACAGTGTGCGCACTATCCTGCTTCACACACCTAGCAAGTCCTTGTTGCGCGACTTCTGAGCCGTTAATTGGCCGTAACCGAATCAGGACCTGGAAAAGAAGACAAACTGCGCTCAGTTCTAAGTACTTTGGAATACTGTTCGGGATGACGCAGTATCTTGAACTTCTACAGACGGCAGGGGATATCTTTCACAAGATGGAGGTGCTGGTTGCAGTTCAAGCTCTCTCGCTGTTCTACCAAGGTGCAAATCATTCCAGAGTCAATTGATAAGAAAACATTACATAGATCCTTCTGTCAAAGGTATGTGGCAGTCAAATACGGGAAACGAAACTGTAACGAAATTTCAGGTTGAGTAATAACCTGCACGTTGTGATCCTGCCAGAACGACGGGTCCTCTTCTAAGTGAAATTGCGAATTCGTGTAGAGCTGAGAGGTATGTTGATTTCGAAACAACGCCCTTGGATCATTTCCGATCACCCCTGTGGTTAGTGTGCTTATCAGACCCCCTCCATTGGAAATTGAAGAAGAGCTTCCGTAGCGCAGCGATCGACTTGCGCTACGAGGTGTAGCATTTGAGGTAACTGGGCACAGAGAAGTTGGGCTGTTATTGAGGTCAGCATCGGCAAGTTTCTTTCTTGACCCCCGCGGAGGAGTAGAAGGCAAGGTGTCAAGTCCCTCTTTCTGAGATGCTTGTACCAATCGACAATTGTCCAAACCTGCATCTTTATCACTGATATCAGAGAATGAGGCAGACAGTCGCAAGCTTTTATTGGACGCAGCATCTTGCGCGGTGCCAAGCCGGGAATTATCAGATCGACCGCGAGTTAACGAAGGTGATCTCCTGTGCTTCAAATTCTTCTGTCTGTCGGATGGCTGACGAGAGCGCCAAGTGAGCTTTAAGTGGCGCTTCGCAGGCCGTTCAGGTGTGTTGGCACCAATCGGCTCGCTCTTTGCACCTTCGGAAACTCCTGCATTGCACAACGCAGTTTGAGATCGTCCCTCTTGAATCATTTTTGGAGGAGACAAATTGTGCTCGTTGAAAGTCCCTCCCACAAATCCATGGATTCCTTTCGGTGGTGACAAATCGCTACTTTCGGTGTCTCGCCGTGTGGTCACAAATGCGAGCCGTGGCTCCGCTGAAGCCGATCGAGCTCCGTCCTTACCTTCAATGCCAACCTCCTCCCCTTCGCATTGCTCTAATGCCAGCTTCTTAGGGGACTCGACCTTCGTAAACATCCGAAGCGGGTACATCCCTCCTTCCTACGAAACCCCCTTAATCCAACGTTCTTTCTGATTCCGCTCCCTTCTCTGCTCTCCTCCACCTCACCATCACCTTGACCTCGCACGAGGTTCGCCAACCTACTCGCCTCCCTCAATCCTGCACTCCGGTACCAAGAATATGGAAACCAGCTCTTGCCATCTCAAATGCAGCTCACCAACTTCAAAGCAACACTCCCTCACGTCTCACGGACTGTACACCCGCTTCACCTCCCCTCTCGATCGGCCAGTCGTCAACAAGCACAACGGGCTTATGCTTAGCTACAGCATACGGGGGGGCAGAGTCCAAAAAAAAGAGATAACCGCGATCGAATTGGTGCCCCAGATAGTGCCAAGACGGAGCAAGTAGAAAAAATTGAGCTGCAGTTGGTTGCACCAATCGTCCCCGATGGACGAAAAACTTGAACGCAGGTCGCTTCCATGACGACGCATCCCCAAAGGCAACGGTAACCACTTCGGAGGACGGGTCCCGTCCCCTCACAAACTCACTCACACTCTGCCAACTATTTCTTTCGGCCAGAGCTTTCCTTCCTAAGCTGCCCCAGACTCCTTAACCATCGCCGCTGACCCTGCTACAGCACCTCCTGTCTGGGGTGGAATTTCTCAAACTGGTAGTATTTTAATTCCGAAATTTCCTAACCTTATCTCGTAACAGTGGTAGATTTCACCACCATCTCGGAGCCTCCCACAAACTCTGCGAGAAGGGTACGCCATGCGTGTGAAACTCGCTTCCAAAGTGAACTTCAAGTCAAAAAGGGCATCGTCAGGGGATAAATCATCGAAAAGTTGGATGAATGAGGACCGCGGTCAACGGAGCCCAACGCTCGTAAATCCATACCCCTTAACCAATGATGCTGCGTGGGCTGTCAATGTGACCCACAAACCGTGGGACGCAGCAATATTTTATTACTATTATTAGTCCGGAATTAAGACCAGCATTTAAATTCGCACAGTGTGTGTTTGAAAAATGGCCCCACGATTGAGCTGTGGGATTTGCTGAGGGAAAATAGGCAAAACTTTCTCCTAAAATTGTTGTATTGAACAGAAGAGCTTTTTATTATTTTTAAAGATTGACTTGGGAATCCTCTGTCTTAAGCCATGGAATTAGCAATGACCACTTGCATTACAAAAATAGAATTTTTTGTTTCAAATATTATTCACCAAGACTAGTGTAAATTTAACACAAAAATAAATAAATAAATAAATAAAAATAACTGGCTATACTGGTTCGGTTCGAACTCAATGTGAAAATGTATTTGTACGATACAATGATTCAGAATCAAAACATTGGTGATTCGTCTGCTTTGTGGTCATAATTCAAGCTCACAAACAATTTGTACCTTTTGTCGTGCTTGCAATTCCATTTATGATATTGTATTTGAAAATGTTGAGTGTTTATTTATTTTAAGTTTTGAGGGGCATTGAAACGTTGGTGGAGGTTCATTGTGTTAGAATATTCTTCAATTCCAACGGACGTCTTCATTGTTCCAAACTTTATATCTTGAACTAAAATACTATGTGAAATTGTATAATAGTTGTTGGAGCAGATGAAAAATCAGTAACAGCTAGAGTATCTTTAATTGAGAATTTTGAGAAGCATTTAAGCCACTTAAAAATTATCTCAGTGTGCATGATTACAAATGTTATATGATATTATTATAATGCTAAGTATTTTAATGTTAATATACGTACATGATTGGTGAAAGAAATGTTTTAGATTCAACTTAGTCATTATCAAAAAGTGTTACAATTACTGGCACTTTGATGAACAGATGATGATCAAATTCAAACTCTTGTGTATTTGAAACTTTCAATTGAGGTATCACATTTGCACACTATTGATGTGTGTTGGCAAACATATTCAAGGGCTTCTCATGTCGTTACTACAATATTGCACAATTATCATGTGAATTTTACATTTTTGGACATATTTTCAAAATAATTAGAGCTCATTTAAAATAATAACAATAATAATATAGTAATTACACAGTATATTAGACAAGTTTTCCATTGGAATACATGGTTGCATGTATCAAATATTAATGTTAATCTAGAATGAATTTACACGGGCTTCACTTACTCTTTCTTTAGATCGATTTGCTATCTTCATTTGATTTTGTCTTTTATATTTTTTGCCATTCTGATTTTAAAGTATAAATTCTCGAAGCTACTTGGACAAGGTAAACAATGCTTTACCCACATTTACAATACAGTACACATGGTATAGGCTTATCAATGGCTTTGGAAACATGTTCACTAAATTTACTCATCTACGTACAGGATGCAAACAAACATAGATCATTGCAACTAAAAGAAAAAGATATAAAAAGGTTGAATGACGAGTTCGAAAACAAATTGGAATAAAATTCAAACACATTACAAACAACACATCAATAAGAAAAAGGCAGTGTCCGTTGAGGTAGCCATGGAGAATTGGTCTCCATCACAAGATGACAAGTGAAACAGCATGTTGGGGATGAATGTCCGTCCAAGTGGATGGACGAAATCTCTTCAAGAGGATGAAAACTGATGTTTCTAGAAACAAGTCACGAGAACATTGTTTGTTTATCAAAACTGCACTCTTCTGCTGAGGAGAGTTCTGGTTCGGCACAAAGTATCTAGCGAAAGGCTACGCGGTGGTCGTAATGTAAGTCTCCTTTTACGCAAAAACTTCATGCGCAGTGAGGCTAAGAGGGATATTTGCATGTTTCTTACGTTTGCGTAGAGAATAAACTGCTGCTTTCTGACAAGGTTTTCATAAAGTTAACTTTGTTTCTGTTATCTCCCAGTAATTGCAGTGTCCTTCGGAGCCCAGTGCTTTGGGATTGCTCACAGGAGAGTTGTTTAGTGGAGGTGAATTGAGGCGGCAATGATTGAACCCGACGATTTTACAAACTTCGACTTCCGGGACTTATTCACACTTCACGGTGCCTTGTAATGAAAGTCGTTGAAGACCGTGACGAATTTCCTGAGACGATGAACAGACACTCACTGCTCATCAACAACTGCAGCGAATATGATGCTTCAGAGACCGACCATCTGCGGCGGAGCTTCCAGCATTCAAAGAGCGGCGGTTACAACCGGAAATTCAAATTGCTTCCAGCGCTTAAAATAGTACTATGTGTTTTAAAAAGTCGAGCGACACTCCGGAGCTTTGGCAAAGCTGCGGCGTGATTCTAATTCATTTAGAGTAATTCATTTTCTTTATTCTTCAAATTAATAAAGTTGCTCTATTCTGCATGATGGTTCCGTCAGGCTTGACGCACATTAACTTTTGTGAACTGTCCTCAGTAGTTGCTTAAATATGTCGGATAGGTATGTCTGTTTCATTCTAGGTAAGCTGTAAAAGCTCGTTGTCCTCGACACGCAAAGTGTTCGTTAAATACAATCTCATGTTCCACCACAGTAATAAATACTTCAACATAGCCTTCTTACTAAACTCCTTCTAGAGTAGTGGGGGTTTACACACCATCCGCCCGTCTGTCTGTTCGCGTTTCTGAGCTCTTCGGAGCTGGTAGCAGGTGAAACATCTTCCCGCCTTCCTCGCGAGGTCGCCGATACGCACCTCCAGTTAGTTGATCTGAGATTACTCTATGCCAATTAGGGCGAGCAGGAAATCTGTACCTATCAGAAAAGTGGAATGCATGACCTCCAGGTGCATCAACCAGCTTTTGGCGATCCCTTCTGAAGTGAGAAACATCACGTGGTATGTTTTCACTGTGGTGTGGTATGTCATCTCTGATGCGATGCCGATGGCGGGGCTGGTATTGGCGCTCTCGAATTGCAGTTTTCGACTCTCAAGTTTGTCCGTGGGTATGAGAAGCAAACCAACCACAAAGGTCATGAGAAAACCTGACTTCTTTTTTGGTTTGCTATGAAACGTGGTTACAATTCTCCAATGCTCCAATGTCACTCGATTCGTTGATCGTCTATACGGCAACCACGGCGCAGGATCGAAGTCAGTTATGAATCGTGTGATACAACAATATCCGAGGGCTTCGAAAAGAACGTCACCTCTTTAAACAACTTGCGACTGATGATTGAAGCAGTGTTGACACAAAGCCTTCGTCGTTGTGGATGCATGGAGTCTCGACAGTTGTGAAGTAAGTCTTCGTGCAATTTCTCAAGAAAACCATTTTTGTTTCGCACAAGGAATTAAGAAGACTGTTTTCATAGAATTAAATCTTATTGAATTTATTTGTTTGGAGCCGAAGGTATTTATTTTTGATTTAAATACTTAATTATTTGACTCATCAAGCCAAGATATTGTCGTGGACTTTCGTTATTATGTTATTTTTATATCTGACCACACATACGGGTAAGAGTGTTTCTTCTACAAAAAAGAAGAAGGATGAAACATGAATCTTTTTCTGTAAGAGTAGAAATTTTATTTATTTGTCCACAATAGTGTATTATTTTAAGCCTAAATATAAAGACACAAATGTGGTATTAACGGTAGGATTAATTGTGATAGAATACAAAGTTGGAGTAGTAAGCACAACTGATTGGAAAATTATGAAAAGGCAATTGAAAATTATCTATATTAAATTAGTCAATTTTAACAAACAACAATGTATTTTTTCTAATCTAATAATTTATTTTTTTATAACTTAATTGTACATATTATAATGTACTTTTTAAAAAATAATAAAATAATATTTGAAATTAAGATAAAATTTAAGATACTGGGTTAAAGTCAATTTTAAATCTATTAATTAGAATAATATAAAACAGGTTTAAAAAAAACAATTATAGACAGAGATAGATTTTATGATAATTTTCCTTTCTAAATTGTAACATTAAACATAGTATGTCAATGTCTTCTATCTTAAAGTATAATTCTTGATGTTTTATTCTAGAATAATACCAGTAATCATATCTTATATTTTTTGTAATACCCTTAATATTTAAAGTTTTATTTATGCTATGTTTTTTTATTTTATTTTATTTTACTTTTCGCAATACAGAATGTTGTTTTCTTTACTAAAATATTTTTATAAAACTTAATGTACTTATAAGGTGCATTATGGCTACTTTTTAAGTCTCGTAGTCAAGATACAAGATTTTAATTGTAAAAGAGAGATTATAATTATAGTGATGTCTTACCTTATTCTTAATTTACAAAGAAAATCATATTTAATATGAGTTTTTAGAAAATTGGTCAATTCAATTTACTTTCTTTGTGGTTTTTAAATCACTTAATTCATTTGAGCCAACAATGTGTATTATGTCTTTTAGAATATTATACATTGTTTTTACTTTTCTACTTGTTCAAATATTTTAATATAAATTTTATTATTTCTTTGCTTTCATATGATCTAAATAATTTTTTTTGTTATATATAGCTTAATTTTTTTTGTATATATATTTTAAGAATATTTGTTAGAAATCAAATTTTGGCTATTGTATATAGAAAGATCATTTTAGATTGAATGTATAAATGAAGTTGGTTTCTTATTTCTATACTTTCTTGGTAGTCATGTCTTTTTGAAATTAAAATAATTTATACTATTTCATATAAAACAAATAAGATACACATGTGATATTGATGTTATTTTTGTATTGAAGTCTTTTGCTTTTGTTTTGTTCTAAAATAGTCTATATAGAGTTAATTATTTATTAGCTTGTAACTTATTTTATTTTATTTTATAAATATTATTAATATTAAATATGTAGAATTTTATTCTATTTTATAATTTATATTGATATATATATATATATATATATATATATATATATATTATTGGCATAGATTTATTTATTTATTATTTTTTATATTTTAAAGTTCTAATTACAAATAATTTTTAGTATTTGATTCTAAATTATACATTAGATTATAAAAGGCCAAAAAATTACTTCTAATTATGTTTCATCCTTGTTAATTACAATTCTTATATCAAATGATTCAATGATATTTTGAAAAGCCTTTAATAAAAAAGTTATGCAATGTTTTTATGCAAGTTAATACAGATCTTCCTTGAAGCATGCAAATGTCTTGGCTAACTTATTATATATATCTTAAATTTTATCAATAGTCTTTGTATCTATCCTTGATAATGGTTTAAAAATATCATATAATACTATATAAAATGATATCATAATACAAAGAATAATACTATATAATATATTAATATTATTTATACTCTGATAATAAATAAATATCATTATTAATGATTTGTGAAATATCATATGTAAATTATCACATATTTTGTATTAAAATATTTAAATTAGTAATGATAATATAATTATATCTATTATTTAGTTATATAATTCTATTTAGTATTTAATAAAGAAATCTTGACTAATGATTTATATACACTAATATATTTCTATTAAATCTTTGGTACAAAAAATTAATGGATCTAGGTCAAGGATTATAAATCACTTTCTTAATATCCTATTGATTATGTAGATTTAATTATGTTATTTTATTTTTAAAAATTTGTTTTTATCTTTGAATACTTTTTGTGCTTTTTAAATCTTTCAAAGTAAAATTTATATATCTTTGTTCTTTTTTAGATCATTTCTTATAAATCTTACTAGTAATTAAATATACCATGGACAATGTTATAACTACAAGGTGTTTTTTAAGTACTAATGATTGTTGAGTAAGAAGTAGAAATTATCCAAAGAATTTTGTTTAAGATTTTTTTTTTTATTATTATTATTGTCTATTTTTTATAAGTTATTTATTATACCTTTAATCTAAAACTATTTGGTTCTAAATGTTTTAACTATAATTTTTTTAAATGCCATCTATTTTTTTGGATTTGTTGTATTTTATATAAAAAATTATAGAATTAATAGAATTTTTAGATATTAAAGCTTTAATATCTGCTATGTAGATTGTATATGCAAAACTATTATCTTATTTAGAAAACTAAGCTTTTGATTATAAATGCATTAATTTATTCTAAACTATAAAAATCTTGCCTTTGAATTCTTATTTCTTCTTATAAAAATAAATTTTTTGTAAACATATTAAAGTATCTTTGTTATTATTAATAAGCCATTCTAAATCATGATATATTAATTTATATAATAAAATATTATATAATTGACTATCAAGATTTAACTTGCATAGTTTAATTTTATAGAATATTAATACTTGATATTTTCTAAATTCTATATATTAATAACTTATGAATAGACCTTAAATTTTTTTAGATTTCTAGAGAAATTTTAAATAATTAGTTAATTTTTTTTGTGTTTGACTATTATTAATTATATTTTCTTAACTATTGAGGTTTAATTTTTGAAAGTACAATAATAATGTGAAATCATTTTATTTTATTTTTAATCATAATTTTTTTAAAATATATCTTTATAATTAAAAAAAAATTAATATTTATTTATGTAACTTTCATAAATAAAAAATTATTTGAATATTAGATAAAAATTAATTATTTAAAAAAAATAATATACCTCATTTAATATTGGCTATTTATTGTTAATTAATAAGGATATATTTTTCTAATAATTCTTTTTTAGCTTTAAATAGAAGAAATTTTAATCTATAAATAAGTATCTTAATTTTGATTTTTTAAAAAATAAATCCACAATAAGTTGATAGTAATCAATCTTGATAATTTGTTAGTAAAATTTAAAAAATTGATTTCTACTCCATTTAGTCTTGGATCTTTAGTATTAACTAAGTCTATAATGGCTTTATATAAAATATATTTTTTTTGTAGGAAGAATTTTAAAAAATAATCTAACTTTTTTATTAAGTTTTTTAGAATATCTTATAAAGAGTATGTGTTGGAAGATGACAAATTTTGGAAGGTGAGAAGTGTCTTTGATCAAAAGACAAGAAATGTTGAAAGACAACAAAAACCGTTGATTGAAGATGACAAATGCTGGAAGACAAAGAATGTCTTCAATATCAGGGACATGAATTTCAAAAAACCAAAGGATCAATATATTCTTGTGTCATTCAAAAAGAATAGATAATCATTAAAAATAATATAATATTGAACATAAATGATTATTGTAATAAATAAGATGATTAGAGTCTCTTAAAATAAGACTAAAAATATAAAAGGCATTGACAAGAGTGAAGAAGGCTTCATTCTTGCCTCCATATATATTATCTAATTAGGAGCTACATAGTGACATTTTGTAAGACCTCTTATACATATCCAACTTATAAGACACATATCTAACTTACAAGACAAATTTTTTAAATGTGCACCACATACTCAGCTTGTACCAAAAGCTATCAACAAGTGTGACACGTGGCTTACTTAT